CAGCTCAATGTCCCCAGGGTTTTTTTTTGTTCCCTCTGCATGACGGTGACACCTGACACCGGCTGCAAAATGCGACACCCAATGACGATGACACCGCGTCACGGCTGTGCCACGCTGGTGTCACACAGTCCCCTCTGGTGGTGGCACAGAGTTTACCACCGTGCATGTCCCCGTCCTCATGGCAGACGATGGTGACAGCACCAGAGGTTTCCGGTGTCACCGGGTCCTGCAGTAGGCAGGTCTGGAGGGGTGACAAACAACAGTGAGAAGCTCAGTGACAGCATGGTGACAACGTGGTGCCGCCTGTGCCTGCCCCCATGTGATGGTCAGAGTACAGGGAATGGTGTCACCCGATAGATGGTGGCACACAAGTGATGGTGACACCAGATGACGGTAACAACAGTGACAGCCAGGGATGGGGACGCTGCGTCACGGCTGTTCCACATCGAGGTCACCCTGTGTCAGGGCGCCACCTGAAGACAGTGACATTCAGTGACCCCCAATGGCATCCAATGAAGGTGACACCCAACGATGGTGACACCACCGACCCCATGTCACACCTGCACCAGACCCCACGTGTGCCCCGACTGTCCCCAGCCCCCCTCCCTGTACCCCTCCTCATCACCTCTTCAATGAGGATGGCACCGTGCTGCAGTTGTGCCACCATGGCAGGGGGGAGAGCATGGGACAGTCACGGACAGCCAGGGTGACAGCGTCCAGGAGCTGTAGGACGCGGATGGGGCTCTCGATGGGGCTCACTACGTTTAATGATTTAATTCGGGCTGGGGTCCAATTTGCTAAGATTGACCGCCAGCCCAACCATGTTCTTCTCCAGCTTTGGAGACAGCTAAAGGACAACCAAAAATTTCAGACCTACCCTAAGAAACCAAGGATAAGGGTTATAGAGAGAATGCCAACAACAACATGGAACTTAGAAGATTTCATTGTTGCTAATAGAAAAAAAAGCCGCCTCAGGTGTCTCGGGCTACAATGCCTGAGGCACTGGAAGCAAAAGAATTGCAGAGACTCACAACAAAGGACCATTCTTGGAACATTCTGTTTGCGTTCAAATTGTGGCAAAGAAGCGCATTAAGAAGCTCCGAGAAGCTCTAAGAAGCTGAGGGAGAGCAAGGCAGCCCCCCCGCCCCAGCAGCGTGACAGCTCTGATGGTGTGGGCAGAGCAAGAGTGCCGGTGGCACCGCCTGCCTGTGCCAATAAAGGCAGAGCGCAGCAAGCGCAGCAAACGGGACGGGCGAATGGGGCACGGCATGGCAGTTGGCACGGCACGGCAGCTTGCAGTGGAGTGATCCCCCATTGTTCCCATCCGGAGGTAGATCTGTCCCCAGGGCAGCCCCTGTGGCCCCCCAGCCCAGCCTACGTCCCCCTGGCCATGCAGAAGAGATCGAGTCACCCCAGGCCCCACCGGGCACTGCGACCTTCCCCACTCCCACCCTACAGCAGATGGCAGCCATCCCCCCAGGGTAGGGTGCAGGGAACACATCCCACACCTGGACAACCACTGCTGTGACCAGCTGCGGCTTTCCAGGTCGCTCCAGGTGCACTAATGAAGAAAAGCCCTTCAGTTCTCCCTGCTGCCCCTTCAAAACCTCAGGAGAGCCAGCAGCACCTCATGCCTTAGGATGCCCGGTGCATTTCACAAGGATGCTCTCATCTCCAGCATTGAGATCTTTGGCAAAAATATCCAACGGCGCTGAGCCAAGCTGGGGGCTCAGTGGTGACATACAGGGAAACCTGCTGTGCTGCAGCGTGAGCCTCCGGCCCTGCTGCTGGGCACCGCCGGGCGCAGCCCGGCTCCGTCCTCTCCGCACCTCTCTGCAGGGACCGATGGCCGTGCCCGGGATCCCCCGAGCCTCCTCTTCTGCTGGCTGAGCCGCCCCAGCTCTCCCAGAATCCCAGCCCAGCCATTTCCCACGCCTACACTGCCAGGTAGCGCTGACTGAGGCGGGGAGGGGATTTTGGAGGGGAGGGATGAGGCCGGTGGGGGCAGCCCTGGGACACGGCCCTTTGTGCTGCCCCGTCCTGCCCCGCAGGTGGGCGCTGGGGTCTGGGGGGGGTTTAGAGCTGCATGAACGACTGCAAGTGGAGGCATAGGAAAGTGAATATAAAACATTTATTAATTTAATGTAATGTAACATAATTTAACATAATGTAGTATAATGTAACATAATGTAACAGCCCAAGATGACATCGGTGGAAGCCCAGGTTTGGAGGGGTAGGGCTGGGGCCGGTGCTGGTGTCCCTGGAGCACTGCCGCTGCTCTCTGTGTGCCGCAGGGGCCAGCGAGGAGCCCAGGGCTACAGGTAGCCTTGTTTGTTGGCTATGGCCGTGCCTCCTGCTGCACCACGTGGGCCGGTTTCTGCGGAGGCTCCCGCTCAGGCTGAGCCCACCCAGCTTCGCCTAGCGCCGGCGTTTCTGTCCTGGAGCGTCCTGGCCCAGGAGCAGCTTCCTCTTCCTGGCTGGGACGCTGCCAGCGCGCTGCTCGTGCCCTCTGTTCCTGCCTTTCCTGGTGGTGCAGGCAGGCGCCGGGCACTCGGCCGGCTCGGTGCCATCCTCGTGGTGGTTGCCTGGCATGTGGCAGGAGATGCAGCCGGATGGCAGCGCCAGGCGGGTGAGAACCACCCGGGGCTGCCTCTGCTTCGCCTCTTCTATCAGCCGTGCGCTGTGGGCTGAAGGAGGCACGCGAGCATCCATGCGGGTCGGCAGTGCCAGGCGGGGGAGAACCACCCGGGGCTGCCTCTGCCGCGCCTCTTCCATCAGATGCCTGCGCAGCAGCGGCTCAGAGAGCTGCCCAGAGGATACCGGCTGCGCTGAGAACGGCTCACTGAGGGGCCCGGCGTCAGCCTGCACCTCTCTGCTGAGCTCCCTGCTGCCTGTGGGAAAGTCAGGGGCTCCTCTGGAGAAAGGAGAGGTGCCGAGGCTGCTGGGGACATCTGGCAGTGGCTGCCGGGGGACCTCCGGACAACTCAACGCTTCTGGAAAAGCAAGAACAACCCCCAGAACGATGATGGCAGGCTTCCCACAGCCACTCGGTGTGGACATCCACCCGCCACCGCTGCGGCTCCTGAACTCACCAGCGATCCAGGTGAGCAAGCTGTTGATTTCCATCTTGTCATCTGGAATGGCCGAGCTGGGTGTCCCTTCTGGAAAAAGGAAGGAAATCCCCACAGGGGCAATGCCAGCTTTCCCACACCCACTCGCTGCAGACACCCCCGCCTGCTCTGCAGCCCCTGAACTCACCGTTGCTGATCCACGTCAGGATGTCATCGACCTCCGTGGTGTCGACCGGGATGTCTGCGTTGGACATCACTTCTGGAAAAAGCAAGACGATCCCCACAGGGGCAATGCCAGCTTTCCCACAGCCACTCGGTGCGGACACCCACCCGCCACCTCTGCAGACCACAGACTCACCACTGATCCACGTGAGCAGATCATCAATGTCCTCTGTGATGTCTGCGCTCATTGTCTCAGCTGGAAAAGCAAGAACATCCCCAGTGAGGCAATGCCAGCTTTCCCACAGCCCCCAGGTGCAGACAGCCTGCCGCCCGCTCTGCAGCCCCCAAACTCACCACCTGATTCCAGCGCTGTGCTGCTGCAGCCGAGCAGAGCCATGGTGGGATGGGGGCACACGCTGCTGGGTGCCGGGTGCCCCTGGGCCTCCGTGGCGTCTCCAAAGGGCCCCACCGTCTGCTCCCAGCTGGCGGGCAGGGTGCAGGGCGCGGGGAGCACCTGCTGCTGCACTGGAGGTGCTGGCAGAAGGACGTGGTGATGGGGGTCCTGCAGCGGGCAGCTGCCTGCGGGCTGTGTGGGCTCCCCATGGAACACAGCCCCAGGCCACAGCCCCGTCGGCTGCTGGGACTGCAGCGTCCCTGCCTGCAGGTGATGGATGCAGCCGTGGGCAGGGGCTGTGGGGGGAGCCGTACCAGGGTGCAGCCCCCAAGCTGGGAGCTGACCCACTGATGGAGGCGGCCCCCCAGGTGGGAGCTGCGCTCCCTGTCCCCGGACACCTGGCACCCCAGGCCAGACAGAGGCCTGAGGCACCGTGTTGGTGACAGTGGGGACGTGGAGGGGTTGCGGTGACACCTGCACTGCTGTGCCGATGCTGGGCTGCATTGCAGCAGTGGCCGGCGGTGGCACAAGGGATCCAAGTACAGCGGCGTCAGGTGTCGGAAGCACCGTCAGCGTCCGTGGAGAGGTTCTCCCTGTGGAGAAATGCCCAAATGGGTGCTGGGCTGAGATCTGGGGCACTGGGATCAGCTGGAGGGCCGCAGTGCCAGGAGCAGGAGGAGCCTGCTGCCTTACCTGCCAAGGGAGCTCGAGAGTGGCAGCGGGGGGTTCCGTGACCGCTGAGGTCAGCCCCTCTCCCCTGAGCTCACAAGGACTCTGTGACACTGTCACAGGCATTGCTCTGTGCCTGCCCCGTCACCAGCACTTGCTGTGGCCGCTCACTGTGGCTTCCTCTGTTTCAATAGAGATAATAAACATGACGAAAATGAACTTTTTACGTGTCGAGATGGTGATGGGGCAAAGGGGAATGGTTTTAACGTAAAGGGGGGAGATTTGGATTAGATGTCAGTTCATCACATCATCCTGGCCCTGGCACTGCTGCCCAGAGAGGCCGTGGGTGCCCAGATCCCATTGCAATGAATGGAGACACAGGGAGGGACGTGGCTGATGACACTCAAACTCCCGGTGGCATCGCAGGGCTGCGGTGCTTTGACTCTGGGAAGCCACCAAACTCCCACCTGCTGGCTGTCTCCCTTCACACATCCGCCTGTCACAAAGCACAGGGGCTGGAAGGGACCTCTGGAGATGAGCACAGTACAACCTCCCCCAGAGCAGCTTCCCTGCAGCGCTTGCACAGGAGAGGTCTGCCTCGAGCTGGGGAGCCCAGAACTGACCCAGTGCTCCACATGAGCCCAGTGCTTTCTGCGGCCCTCAAGAGCTTCCCAGGGCCACCAGTCCTGCCCAGAGCCCCCATGTCAACTGTATAGGAACTGCTGAGTCACAGCCTGAACCTCTGATTAGTCACCTGAGGCAAGCAATGAGTCAGCCCTGGGAGCACAGGTGAAAGCAATTCACCTGTGCTGCAGGAAGGGGTGGAGCCTGGCTGCACCTCTCCTAGACCCATTTAAGAGCTGACTACCAGTGGAGAAGGATCCCTCTCTCTTTGGAAGATCTACTCCACTGGAGTTTCCTGAGTGAGCCTATGACACGGGTAAGCATCCTGTTTATTCTCCTTTGTCTCGCTGTACCTAACTCTCTTGCTTATTTCATTTTTATGACATCTTGATATTATTTGATTATATAATATTCCTTCATATAATTTTCATTGATTATACACTTGGCGAGCCAGGCACGCAAACTGAACATACTAAAACTTACGCTATGTCCTTTCTTTGGAATTTCTGTAAGTGGTTCAAGGGGGAGAACACTACCCTCCTAGATAAAATAATTTCAGGGCAGATCCCAGGATTTGCGGGATCCCCTTATTATGAATTGGCAACTATCATTGAAAAATGGGGTCCCCTACGTGTTGTGGGAAACGTTTCCCCATATCGCCTAGCGGATTACTTTCAGGGACTAGGCAAAAATACATTAGTCACAAGAGAAAGACAACTTGCTGCTTCTACAGTGGCATGGCCATTGTTAAATGCTTTAAACAATGCTGAAATAAGGAATAATACTTTAGTGAATGAAAATGAACTTTTAAAAGATCATATTGAAAAGTTAGAACAGGACTTGGCATATTAACAGGAATAAAACCAATTTTACATCTTCCAATAGGTCAAGTTTCAATAAACAATGACCAGGCTTCTGAATCAACGGACTGTGTTGATCAGGAAAAGAAACAATCTAAATCGGATCCTGAATCTCCAATTTTGACGGATGCACTAGAAGTCCGTCCTGTTATAACTCAAAAAACAAAGAAAGTACAGGACAGACCGGCAGGGGTGCCGCCTGATCAGTGGCCTCCCGTTCAAACCCACTTGCATGTAACAGCCCGACCGTACACGGCAACAGAACTGATGGACTTAGTCCAACGATTCAGGCAGAAACCTAGAGAAAGTGTGCCGGCTTGGTTATTAAGACTATGGGATTCTGGGGCAGAAAGTGTTCTGGTGAATGGCCTGGAAATAGCCAAATTGGCCACAATGACCGTCCATCCTGCTCTTAGACAGAGATTATATGCAGGTAATCAATATAATGATGAAAACCATTCAATAATAGAATGGCTAATGGTGGCCTGCTGTATGGTATGGCCCAATAAATCTGATATTCCTCTGCATACAGGGATGTGGTCCTCCATGGAGGACCTTCAAAATTACACCTCTGAATTAGGTGTAAGGGAAGCGATTTATGAAGATACCTTTGGCCCGGATCTGGTCAAATTCTCAGCGGGGATGTGAGACCTAATTTTACAAGAAGCTCCCTCCCATCTGTATGGTACTCTGGTCTCTATATTAAATCCCTTAGTGGCCTCAGAAGCAGTTGTCCAGCAGGCTGCGCAGTTAGTGGCTGATCTAGGAGAAACAGAACGCCTGCGGAATAGGCGCAACATTCGGTCACTAGAAGAAGCCAAGGTCTTGCTGGTGACTAAAACCAAAATGCCGGCTACTCGAGCTCCTCAATCCTTAATGATTTAATTTGGGCTGGGGTCCAATTAGCTAAGATTGACCACCAGCCCAGCCATGTCCTGCTCCAACAGCAGAAACAACTAAAGGACAACCAAAAATTTCAGACCTACCCTAAGAAACCAAGGGTAAGGGTTATAGAGAGAATGCCAACAACATGGAACTTAGAGGATTTCATTGTTCCTAATAGAAAAAAAAAGCCGCCTCAGGTATCTCGGGTTACAATGCCTGAGCCACCGGAAGCAAAAGAATTGGACATAGCTCAATTCATGGCATGACAAGGGATGTTAGTCCCCCTAGGGCCTCCAGACAGGACGGGAGACCCTATGTGGAATTAACGATTTATTGGTCCCGAAAAAACATTCAAAGAGTTATGGCACTAGTGGACACCGGAGCAGAAACATCAATTATTTACGGAGATCCAACCAAATTTGATGGAGACAGAGTGATGATTGGTGGCTTTGGGGGACAGACTATTCCTGTCACCCAAACATGGTTGAATCTGAGGGTGGGACGTCTCCCACCCCGGGAGTATAAGGTATCTATTGCCTCAGTCCAGGAGTACATCTTGGGCATAGATATTCTATGGGGTCTGGCTCTCCAGACAACTGTGGGAGAGTTCAGACTTGGACAGAGATGTATCCGTACCCGGGCAGTGCAGGCAATATTAAGAGGCCATGCGAAACATGGGCCTATTTGCCTGCCGAAACCGCGCCGGATTACTGATGTAAGGCAGTACAGACTCCGGGTGGGCAAGATGAAATATGGGGAACGGTGCAGGAATTAGAAAAAGTGGGCATTGTAAGACCTGCACACAGCCCGTATAATTCCCCCACACGGCCAGTGCGGAAGTCGGATGGCACGTGGACAATGACAGTGGATTACAGAGAGTTAAATAAGGTCACGCCGCCTGTTCATGCGGCCATAACCAACATTGCCTCCCTAATGGACACATTGAGTAGGGAGATAAAAACCTATCACTGTGTCCTGGATTTAGCAAACGCGTTCTTCAGTATCCCGATTGCTGAGGAATCGCAAGATCAGTTCGCGTTTACGTGGGGAGGCAGGCAGTGGACCTTTCAGGTCCTGCCACAGGGGTACGTGCATTCACCAACGTATTGTCACAATCTAGTGGCACGTGACCTGGCTGATTGGAAAAAACCTGATGATGTTAACCTGTATCATTATACTGATGATCTCCTGCTGACATCCGACTCACTGGAGGCATTAAGGCAGGCGGCAGATTCATTAACCGCCTATTTACAGCAGAGAGGATGGGCTATAAATCCCCAGAAGGTGCAAGGTCCGGGCCTGTCCGTAAAATTCCTGGGGGTGGTTTGGTCAGGAAAGACCCAAGTACTGCCCAGTGCTGTCTTAGATAAGGTTCAGGCGTTCCCAGTCCCTACAACATCGAAGCAGCTGCAAAGTTTCTAGGTATACTGGGTTACTGGCGTTCCTTTATACCTCACCTCGCGCAGCTGCTAAGGCCGCTGTACAGACTCACAAAAAAGGGGCAGCTATGGGACTGGGGGAAAACAGAACAGGATGCTTTCCAACAGGCAAAACTGGCAGTTAAACCAGCCCAGGCATTGGGTATATTCGATCCTACCCTCCCAGCTGAGTTGGATGTTCACGTTACTCAAGATGGCTTTGGTTGGGGCCTGTGGCAACGCCAGAGTTCTGTTCGGACCCCCACTGGTTTTTGGTCTCAGGTCTGTGTCAACGGTTTACGGGCTGGTTCGGCCCAGTTCTGTGACTAGTGGGGCGGAGGGATCCGCAAATCCGCGCCTCCGGAAAAAGGGAACAGGGGACCCCAAAATAATTAAAAACAGCAGCAATGATCTGAGGAGAAACAAACTAATTTACTAAATA